GCGCTGGTCCAGTGGGAGGAGCTCCAGGTGGGGTCCTAATTTAGCTGGCCGGCGACTGCCTGAGGCGCCGCACGTGTCGGGATCCTCAGGCAGTCGCCGGCCAGCTAAATTAGGACCCCACCTGGAGCTCCTCCCACTGGACCAGCGCTGACTCGCCGCTGCTCTCCCGCACCGAAGGTAAGTGAAAAAAAAACATAGCGCAAACATCGGGGCATTTTGACAAATACAAGTACTTGTCAAAATGCCCTGTTTTTTCCGCCCTCACCCTGCAGCCCGTAAGGCAGCCGCCTGACTTGCCTTGCGGTAGCGCCGGGCCTGCATCTGACATAATGCCGTCACTGTTCAGCCAATGACTTTCTATTAGCTTAGTCTATTTTTACAATATCTTTTGTTAAAGGAAAACTATGGTGTTAGGGCTTTTCCCCATAGTTCTCCGAAGGGTAACGGGAGGACACAAACTAGCGTCCTCCCGTTACCCAAAGCTCAGTATACCGCGAGCTGCAGCTCGCGGTATACTGAGACACCGCAGCTGAAACGGATCCCGACAATTATGTCTGGATCCGCCCAGCTGCGTGAGTGACAGCTGGCTCTGCCTATCTAGAGGCAGATCAAGCTGTCCCCTCCCCCTCCCCCGTCCATTCCACCAGTCAGCGCTGGAGGATCGGACAGGAGAGGGGAGAGTATATTTGCTCTAACATCCGGTGCCAAAGTAAAGCATGTTAGTTTTATTGATAACAAGTTAAGTTCCCCCGCTACTCATTGAGATTATATATTGTAAGTAGAGCTTGTACAGGTTAGTTAATAGGCCTTACTGAAGAAAACGACTTTTGTGTTGTGGCAATACAATAAAATGAGACATGAAGATCTAAGCATGGAGAACATACCATGGTCCTCGGTTTACTGGTGCAGTTTACGTAAATTCCAACAGCATTTTATAGGTATTTCAAAATTGTGTAATAGAATAATTTTGGTCTCGGATCTAAAAGTTCTATCCACTAACAAATCATCAGCCACCAGTCCTTCAGAAATATGTACATTCTACCTGTGGGAAACGCATTCTCAACATGATTCGAATCAGGAAGATTTGTGCTTCTTTCATCGTATGTCAAAGGGGACAGGGCTCCCTATGTCTGTGATTGTCTTATCAGCTGAGACTTCCTTGGTTTTGTCTGTGTTGGATTTTATCAAGAGAGAATCTCTAACCTTTCATAGTAACATCAGGGTATCAAAAATCTGTATGTTTGCTTCCTACTTATAATGCAAAATGTTTTCTTCATTACACCCATAAAGTAACAAGAAGCTAAGATTATCCTTGCCAATAAGTTAGGACCTGTGTTGACGGGTTTTGGGCTTTTGTCAATGGCATCCATTTGAAATCAGTCTAAGACACTTCTAGCATCATTCAGAATTCATTGACAAATGCATTTGAGCGGCAGTTGATATCCATTTGACTTGCAGTTGACCTGGATCAAGCAGGTTTTGCATTCACATAAACTTGTTTTAGAATGCAAAATGCGTCTGGTACAAACAAAAAGCCTATCGACATACACCCTTATCTAGCATATGCAATATCCAAATAATGTATTCCAGTTATTTATAGTTTTGTCAATGCTTATTCAGATATACAGTACGTGTAAGCGAGAAATTAGATTAATGTATATAGCCTTATCAGTTTTATCAGTAACCACTTGCTGTCTGGAGCAATTTCTTACTATTTGCGCACACATGATAAAATCTGAATTTTTGGCTAGAAAACAGCTTCAGACCCCCAAACAATGATATATTTTCTAAAGAGCAGAGGCCTTGTAGAGTAAAAATTATGCCAGTTGCAATTTTTTACGTTACATGGTATTTGCTCACATTTTTTTATCTGAGCAGCAGTGACGCGACGCTCGGCGAGGTAAGTAAGAAGACACCTGACGCTGACTCGAGTATAAGCTGAGGGGGGCACTTTTCAGCCAAAAAAATGGGCTGAAAATCTCGGCTTATACTCGAGTATATACGGTAATACCCATTTTGGGGATATTTGGTAAAATATAAAAGATGGGGTCATGTTGGGTAAATTGATACCAAGCATGTCAAGCATTAAAATTGCGTGCGCCGGTGATACCCCAAAATTCACATAGGTAACACTTTAAAAGCTTTTACTGCTGATCAGTTTAGTATTAATAGTGATTGATGGCCCTAAAATGATTGCTCTCACTCCAACGTCTCTGCTGCTGAACGTCTCTTACAGGGATTGTTGAGCGGCAGACCCTCAATTGGATATACCATAAGTGAGTTTACAAAGGCTATCTGGTGAGTGCGGATCTTTTCTGTTAATACATGTGGAGCACTGAGACGCACGGAACATTACATCTACACATATGGACATATGTTACTTGTTACTCTCCTCTTTTGACCCAGAGGAGGTTACAAAGCTTCTCTCTGACACCCACCTGACCACTTGCCCCCTGGACCCTGTTCCTTCACCGCTACTTCGGTCACCCTCATACTCTATCCTACACTCTCTTACTCACATTTTCAATATCTCACTCTCTACTGGAATCTTTCCCTCCCCTCTGAAGCATGCCCTGGTCCCCCCAATACCCAAAAAACCCTCAATGGACCCTACCGACCTCAATAATCTCAGACCAATCTCCTTACTCCCGATCTAAAGACTCATCTCTTCAGGGAAACCTATCCCACCTCAACCTAACCGCTCGACTATCACGTTCTCAAACAATTCATCCCCACGCAGCTCCATCTTCATGTATCACTTCCCCCTCCTTTTAGATTGTAAGCCCTCAGGGGCAGGGCCCTCCTTACCATCTTGTCTTGAATTGTATTGTGATTGTAATGTCTGCCCTATATTGTAAAGCGCTGCACAAATTGCTGGCGCTATATAAATCATGTATAATATAAATCCTGTCTAATAATAATATTGATTTTTTCATTATCACTTTTCACTTTATTAAGGACATTTATACTTTATAGTTTGTTGTTTTTAATTTATATACACATGCAACTTGTGTACATCACGGGTCTCCACCAGCTGACCATCTACTGGCTTGAGGAGAAGGGGGGAGGGGGAGCAAGGGAGTGGCTTGCCTTGCTGTGCCTGTGTGTTTGTGGAGACATACTCATACTTACTAGCACTCACAAGGGTGGCTTCCATAGGATCCTGCAAGGGAAAGGAACCATGCTAAAACAGGATATCAGGGCTAGCACTCAGAGGACTACCTGATTCTGCAGCAAACTAAAACTTTTAAACATCAAGGATCCATTGTAAGTGATTTAATCATCATTTAAAATAACTTAAATTTAATCTCACTTTAATTAGTCGATAAGATATATCAATATACTGTAATTATTCATGGGGGAATAGAAAGGAAATGCAGAAATTAATTCTCACCTCATGCACCTCATGACCCGCTGCCTGGCTTCCTGATTGGTCAGGTAGCCAGGCAACCTCGAGAAGTGAAGCCAGTGTTCTTTCGATAGAACACCAGCTTCTCAGGCAATCAGGAAGCCGGGTGGCGGGCCATGATCTGCCGCCTGGCTTCTTGATAATCGTGGCAGACGGCACCGGTATTCGATATCGTCAAGTACCGGAAAAAAAAATATCGGTACTCGATAACGAAAAACCAGTATCAGTGTATCCTTAGTTATAACCCTCACTTATTCTATCCAAAATGAAAAACACTATCTTGCTTTCAGTTCTACTTTAATACTGTGAATTTATCATTCCTGTAGTATTAATTATTTTTTATTGTTTTCCTATTATAATCACCTGCATTTTTATTAATACAGTATAGGACTACAATTGTGTGAACACTTTTCCACCAATTTCTTGGGAGTTTCTTTAAGCAAGCATAAAATAATGTTTATTAGCAAAAATGTTCCCATTTGTTGAATCACGGGGCAGAGTTTGCAGTTGCAATGGTATGAATAACTTCTGTCTCTTAATATGACAATACTGATGATCTGAGGTATGAAGTATCTAACATAGAGCACAGCATATAGAATAGAGCTTTGTGGAATATGAAGCAACCTGCACAAAGCACAGAATGGGGCAATCTAGAGTATGTGATATACAGCAAAAAAGGAGAATCCACCATGAACCCTAATACACACAGCACACCCCACCATGAATGCAATGCTCTAGGTACACCCTACCAAATACCCTAATACACATATGTCACTCTTGAACAGCTGCACCTTCCACCTAGCTATCTCAAATGCATATTTGTTGGCTTTGCATGGCAGGGACATAAACGCAGTGATAGCGTGAAAAGCAATACAGTATTCTGCCCAATCTACTTTTAGAACGTTGTAACTTCTACCCTTGAATTACTTTTCATTTACTTTTGAATTATGTTTTTGATTGGAAAACGTTCACCAGTATGTGTAACAATGCTAATGACATTTCAATAATGTTCCACAATCTTGTTATTATAATCAGATATCAATGAGTGTGAGACCGGAGCCAATAGCTGCACTGAGCAACAGACCTGCGTCAACTTCAATGGTGGTTTCCGTTGTGTGGAAAAGAACCTCTGTGTAGAACCATATATTCAAGTGGCTGACAAGTAAGTCTTTTGAGAAGGAAGTGTTACCTTTTGCTTGTTTCACAAGTTCTCATAGATACAGTATTTGAACACTCATAGCTGAAAACAGCCACAATGCTCAAAGCATGGAATACTACAGTTTTAAAAACTGAGCAGCTCCTGGAAAGGACAGGTGCTGCGTGTGATTAGTATGCAGCCCCCGTCCTTCTCTATGGGACTACGCGGCCGTACGCCCCCCTACGCTCACCTCCAGTGCAAGTCTGTAGGGGGTGCGTGTGTCCTGGCTCGGACGCAGACAGGACCCATCCTGTCAGCGTACGAGTACGCTCACCCGCGCGTGCACGGACATGCAGGGCGGGTGAGCGTAGGGGGCCGTACGGCCACGTAGCACACGCACCACCTGTCCTTCCCGGGAGCTGCTCGGTACGGCCCTGCACGCAGCACGGAGCTGTACGTGCGGGGCCGATTCCAGTGTGAATGAGGGCTAAAGATGAAATTCCTGATGAAGTCAATCTCAGGATCTCGCTGACGAGACATTATTCCCTGCAGCAGGCTGTTGGCAGTTTAGCCTCAATCACTGAGCAAATTTCTTGGAAAGGGAGTGAGTCAACCACATCACTCATGGAAACAGGATTCTGGGAAATCCTGACTACAAACTATATGTTGTTTCTATGATCACAATTTAGAGAATATGGTTTTCTGCAGATTGTAGTGTGAATGTAATTATTATTAAGACATAAAGGTGATGATTAATACAATAATTAAGAAATTGAATTCTGTAACTATTCAACGCCATTTTATCTATTAGATCACTAGTAAGTAGTTTCATAGCTGATGACAGGTAGATCAGTAGGCCAGTCTGTCAGTATCGGGTCGTGATGAGATTGAACATATTAGGTCAGTTTCATGATGTAACCTAAATGTCCATTATAATAAATCTTTGTACACTGATATCGGCACACTAGTGTGCCGCGGCACAGTGGTTGAAAAACACTGCTCTAGTCTGACCTTAGTGGTGACACAAAGGTAAACACACCAACTGCCCATTATCTGGGATTCATCTTGATGCCTTACAATTAGGCAGTCTATAATGTATGAACAACAACAGGCATCCACATGACACCTTCCCCATATCATAGGACGGTTGGAAATGTACAGCCTGTTTTCTGCTGTTCCATCTCACATCTAAAATGCATTGGTGGCTTAAGGGTCCATTCACACCTAAGTGTAGCATTAATCACTTGATACACTGTGATTAATGCACGCTATCGCAAAATGCATCTAGCGTGCGTTAACGGGGGCCAGGTGCATTGCTTTGCCGTTCATGTGAATGGAACCCCAACACACCTCCTGGCCACTGTGCATGTGGGCATGAATTACTTTTTTACCACAGAAAAAAAGTCCGGTCATGCCCCACAAACTTCGGTGAAACGTTTATTTTAGCACACGGGTACACATCGTCCCGCTGTGGATCCTCTTCCCTCTGACATGTTTCACCCAATAATGGGCTTAGCCATAGATCTCTACAAATTCAATACAAATTAGAAAACTAAACGTGAGATTGTAGTCCATCACGGGAGTGAGCTTGTAGCGGTGGCTACTTTATAACACACACAGGGATCATGGGGAACAAAAGTAGCCACCCTCCAGAAGGAAGGACAGTGTCAGCACCAATTCAGAGATGATTTGAGGATCTACAGCCGAGTGATACACAAATAAGATACAGTTTTGTCAAAAGTTAAGGTACTTGAAGGCATTTTTAAGATTTACTTCCTGAGTTTAGTGTCAATTTAAAATAAAAGTGAAACCATTTTTTTTTGTTTTTAATAGCGTAAGAGAAGATTATAACCCCTGTCAGCTTTTTAGACCCCTCCAATG